AACAAGTACAGCAACAAATTCATTTTCAAACATCCCTTTCAGAAACATTGTCTTACATTAGTTTTAAATTAGTTCATTACCATTATATTTTAAGCAAATATACTAATGTTTATCTTAACTTAAACCCTACAAATTTCAGTGAAATGACTCATGGTTTTAAATTGTTACAGTTGAATAGAGCCTTTTCCAACTGAGTTTCCCTCAAAGCTGAAACCAAAAACTGAAACTTTACAAGGAAACAACAAGAACTCAAAGCAAACACACACCAAAGGCTTCCAAAGCAAGAAATACCTGAGTGAATTGAGGCTTAAAAAAACTACCTGAGGTGCATGTGAACACAAGTGAATAACATGTGGCTGCTTTTAGCTTTGCATCTGATTGTTTGAGATGGGGTGCAAGTGTTTTTGACCAATCAGAGAGCATAATTAATCATCAAACCACAGTAATTCTGGATTACTTTGACACTCAATAAAAATTGTTCTGTAATGAATTATTCAAACAAGATAACAAGACAACACTGTATTTATAACTTTGAGAAAAATATTTTTTTCAAAATTCCTAATTATGCAACACATTATTATTTACACTTTATTTTAATATTTAATTTCCTTTCATCTTGAAAGTGATCTTGGTGCAGCTTCTGCAGAATTCTGCTGATTTTCAACATGAGCCTTGTATAAGTCCCGAAACTCAAGGACAAAGTTGTATTCCTAAGAGAAAGCCAAACCAAAAGAAAACATCAAATAATGCATCTATCAATTCAAAGCTTCAACATCCCCCCCCAAGCAACCCATAGGCTTTTGCCCATTGTCCATGCCCAAGGGGTGGGGAAGTTGAACCTTGCCTTGCTGGGGTGGAGAATTTGAACTGGAGATGTCAAGTTTCTCATCTGAAACAGAAGTGTTTTATCTCTAACAATTGCTGATTTTACCTTTCTAAAAGAAATGACCATCAAATCCTGCACTTGGATGGGGCATTTTAACAAAGTTTTCCTTAAAAGTTTAAATTCCAGTGGGGCTGCCTGGAATGGGAAAGTTGAAGCTTCAAATTGATTGACACACAAGGTTATGTCTAGCATTTGAACATGCTTGAAAATGCTCTAGAAGGTCCCCCCCCTGCAGTGTACAATGTATAAAATTGCTGGGCACAGCATAAGAAGGAGGTTTTAACTTGAAAGTCAAGATGTAGGCTGAGGAAAAGGAAGGCTTTGCGACACCTACATCAACAAACTTGGGCATTAATACTTGATTTTTAATTATTGCTAAAATTTAAGCCACAGTCTAGTTGCATGATCACACAACTAATCAAAATTTCTGACAGATGGAACCACACATCACCTTCACTTTTTAGGTAAAAAAGCAATGTAGGCCAAATAGAAATTCAAAATAAAAAAGAAAAAATCTCTAGATTTGAAATCTTCCTGCATTTGTCGTTTCAACCTAAAAAAAAATTAAACTCAGTGTAATTCAATCAAACTCACTTGAACATACCTTGATTGTTTGAAATGCTCTCTGACCTCTGATTTGTCGTAACTTGAATATCACATGATCCGGGGACAGAGTCTCATCCAAACTTAACAACAAAATTGCTGCCACTGATACAGAAGAATGCAAAAATTACATCAATGTAGAGTAGTGTTGAAAGTTACATTGTCTTTTATAATCTGGGTTTGCCAAGAAGAAGAGTGATAAAATTAATAGGAACCAAGAAATCTCAACATCAACTTTTAATAGATAAGTTTCTGAAAGATAAACTTTCATTTTCTGTAATCAGATATGAGAATGAGCAATGTCAATACTTATTTTTTGCAGGAAATTGAATTTTCTATTTAATAATAATAATAATAATAATAATAATAATAACAATAATAATCATAAAAACAGATACAAAAGTTACCTTAACTATTTTCAAATTAGTTTCCAATGCAATCTCAGGTGAAGCAAGTTGTAACAAAAAAGTAATCAGTGGCCAAAGGTAGAAATTTCTGTATAGATGACACAAGAAACTCACCTAAACAAGAAATTCCTAATCCAGACACACAGCTATAAAGAGAAAGAGGTAAGCAATAGAATTCAAAAAAATAATAATGCTTCAACATAAATCTGTAAAAATGACCAGATTTGGGTTTAAATTGTTGACTAAATATCTGTATTCAGATTAGTAAAGTGAGTTGTCAGTTATGCTAAGTAACATAACTTTGACAACTGTGTTTAGAAACATTTTGATTGATTTTTGAAAATTAATTCCAAAGAAGCACCACTGGCTAATAAGGACAATTTACATCTATTCACCAAGAGGATGAAGTATTAGTGGTGGATATTTACAGAGCTGTAAAGTAACAAGACAAACATCCACCATGCTCGTAACAACGATTGTTTTCTATTTATTATTAATTATAATACTTACTGTAAAATTGTCTTACGTCCAAAACTAATACACTGCCGTAACTGCTTAATCATACTGCTACATTCATCCAGTGTTGGAACACCTCCTGCATCAACAGGGAAATGATGAACTTCAAAACCAGCCCAACTGTACTCATCTATGAGAGAAGGAACTCTGCATCTGAAAAGGCAATGCATGGTACTCCAATTAACGATTGTCTGTGCTAGGGGAAAGGGGGCCATATTAATTTAGGCCACATCAAAAGAGAGGGTGAGGAAGTTTCATTCCAATCAATGAGACTAGAAAATCACATTTAATAGTCTGGGTAAAAGTAAAACAATTTATGGCCCCTTTCAGTTCATGTTTTCTGTTATGTTATAAGCAGATTACCTGACCATCTCACTACTAGAGCAGAACACAAACACATCTGTGATGTCCATAGCTTTTAACTGGGCTGCATGAACAACAAAATTGCAAAATAATTATCATGCTAAGTCAGGTTTGATTTCAAATCGTAATGTAAGCATTAAATGACAATCATACTCATATCGACTGCTAAATTTCTGTTTGTTTCACGATACTTGCAACCTTGAGGGAAAAAAAAAGTTGAGTTAGTTAGATAATTTAACCAGCATATAAAATAAGGCAAGATTATTTATACAAGACCTTTATTCAGAAGAGCTGGGAACTTTAACGTCCAGCTTCGGTCAAAAACCCGGACGTTCTTTAAACATAATAAGAACAGTGTATGTGTGTGATTTGATATTTCTACACTGTTTTAAGATGATCCTTTGTTTGCAGTTTGCATAACGCTAGCTTCCAAATAATTTTTCACTTTACCTGGCAATCCACTGATACCCACTATTTCTGCACAGCAGCCAGTGAACGAAAGATCAATCCTTAAATTAAATGCACAAATTTATATTTCATTTGAGCAAGTGCACAAAAACTGTGAATCCAAAGTGTTCGTAGTACGATTTATCAAGAGTGAAGAACTCGCAGTAATACTAAACGTACCGATCAATGGATTGAACAATTCAACAAGAAAGTACGGTATAAGCCAGTAAGTTGTACGAAAATAGCAAGACATATGCTTATTATGACTGATCCAAGCCCTACACGTGGTTCATAAAACTCAATTACCAGTCAACTTGGAAAGGTGAAAGATCTTCATCGCCAATATTGTCTTCCTCGTCGTCTGAGCTATCAAAGTCGTGTCTTCGTACGGAAGAACGCTAAAATAACGCCGTTAATTAGCAAAGTAATTCAACAACAAACTTACTAAGTAACTTTCCTTGAACAAAAGTGAAAAAACGCTAAATCTAAAATAAAAGTACCTGTAGTACCATTTTGCACCTTGCGAATACTTGATCGGATTTCAATGTCCAGCTGTTTACAAATTCAAACTTTGCTTCTATTCTTGCGAGGGGTGTGATTGGTTACTTTTCTAGAACCAGTCCCTTGGCCTACCTGTAACCAGAACGACCGCTCAAATGGCAGAAGAGTTTCTTGGTTTTCACGTGGTTATCTGTGTAGTTTCCAGCAATTTCAAACGTTCTTTCTGCCGACATGGTAAGTCTGAACTAATTGAGCCTTCCCTCGGTGTTATGTAGCTACAGAAAAGATGTTTTTGAAATTTGGAACGGGGAACGGGGAACGGGGAACGGGGAACGGGGAACGGGGAACGGGGAACGGGGAACGGGGAACGGGGAACGGGGAACGGGGAACGGGGAACGGGGAACGGGGAACGGGGAACGGGGAACGGGGAACGGGGAACGGGGAACGGGGAACGGGGAACGGGGAACGGGGAACAAAGGACGAAGGACAGGGAATCTGGGAGCAAAACTACAGCATGACAATTCAAAATGGCGGATGACACCACGGTTAAATTGCATAAACACATTGATTGATGCTTGCTTATGATCTGCTGGAGGACCGTACGCGAACGTGAACGCCATTCTGTCCCAATCAAAGGAAACGAAAATATCACAAGGAACCAATGAAGACTCAAAGTATAACCAAGCAAATAGTTTGGAGCGCGGGAAAACGCGACTGACCAAGTCGAGACTAGGTTCACTTTTGAATCCGATTGGTTGATAGAGTGGCGCGAGTTTTTCGGACCAATAACAGCGAAGTAAAGCAACACCAAATCAATCCGGGAATGTTTTCCCGACACTTGACCGAAAATTGCTCGATTGCATAAAACCGCACTGCTTGGCTTTTTAAATTGCCACTCATGTTGCTGATCAAGATTTTTTCCGAATACATGCAATGTGCTGTGCGTTATAGTCTAGTTATTACCTTTTTTAGACATTTTGACAGTCTTCATTCTATTTTTAACGAGTTTTCTGCGCGGAAAAATTGTGGGAAATCGTACCCTTCCTCAAGAGAATCATATATTTTTTGAAAAAATAGAATACAATTCCTGACTCAGGTGACGAAGTGAACGATGCAACACAGATTCAAGAGAGTTGTTTTTGCCAAAATAGTAAAGAGAGAGTAAATACCAGGCCCTATCAAAACGGCGCGGAAATCAGTGAAGAAGAAAACTTTTGTTACCTGTGAGGAATGGGTTGAAGTTTGACCTGTTCCGTGTCACAAATTTGCATGTGATGTATTGTTCGCGTGTGCTACTCATGAGAAATAATAAATAAGATAAGATGGATAACCTCTTTTTAACAACGCTTTTATCCTAAACAAGTCTATGTACAACAAACATCAACCACACCACAGTTCAGATTTCTTGGACCATTGTTGAATAGTTGTAAGTATCCACTAATTTAACTTATAACTTAGCATGAACTGAATCAAGCCCCTGATGGGGTTCTGTGATAATGATTTCAATGTTCGTTATAATCTCAGCGATTTTTACGTCTACCGTGAAGAGCACGGCAAATATTTTGAATAAAACTCGTTTCAATTGTGATAAGAGTTGTTATACGGATAACAGTATCAATCGGTTGTTTATGATATTGCACTACATATTTGCACAGAAAAAAACTAACATATTTGTGTTTTCAAGATGGAAGGTACGTTGTTGAATAAACACCCGCCGCTATTTATTTCTTGTTGGTGTTATGACGATAAATTCTGCATTAAAGTGTTTGAATTACCGTTAGAAATGAGATATGCGACATTTACCTCAGTTGATATTGAAAAATCAATCAAATGGTAAAAGGTTTAAGGAGACTGTGAGTTCAAGCAAGCAAACAAGTTTGTTAGTTCGTCAGTATCTTATTTACCCCGCCCAAACTAAGATCGATTTTTGAACCCTCAAAACACTATGTCATGCATTATTCCCCATGTAACTCTGAAGAATTTGTAATTTATTTTATATGTCATTACTTTTCGTTAACAGTTTCCAGTTGATCACCTGCAACTTTTGAGGCTTTGCAAGTAAATTTAGGTATTTTCTTCCTAACCTTTCTTTGTTCAGCAATGAGAATTTCTTAATTTGGAGAATAGAACATTTGTCCACGGGAAAAAAATGGAATTCAAATGATAAAATACTGAGAGCTATTTAGACTTAAACCATATTTGAAAAAAAATGAGTTGAAAAGCCCCATGTTCTCTTTGAGAAGAGCTGGTCAGTTTTTAATCGAGGAGGCTCAAAATTGATATTTGAAATGTATTGCAACAAGAGAACGAAATGTGAAAAAATTGTACCCTTTGTTTTGTAGATATCTCTGAAGTTGTTTCTGAGGACTGCATTAGAGATAAAGACCTGAGATATTTCGGCTTTCTGAAATCGATGGCTCCCGTTTTGTTGTAAACGCACCCGGCAAGGATCTTGGAAATGACTCTTGTCTTGCCTATCTTGCATGATGACAACACTGTCTATACTCATCTTCATAAGTTTTATAACATGCTTCGACGCTGAAAAACACTTCGAAAATGAAAGGCTAAACTACAGAAAAAATGTGATCGATTTCAAGTTTGCCTGGTGCCAAATGCGCATGCACAGGTACGAATGGAAAAATTTGATTGGTCATTGCTTAACACGGGTGTCTTGGGATGCAAAACCGCTGGACAAAAAGCTTCAAACAAGAGCTAGCAAAAGTTATGTCAAAAAATTGGATATTAAACCTGTAGGATTCTTCAGCAAGATTTACATTCAGTCAGTTTCAGTGAAAAACGAAAATAAAACAATCGGTGGGGATTCTTGGCGCGTTGACATTCGGGGACCTTCCAACATGGCAGCTACGGTGTACGACAAAAAAAACGGGGTATACGAAGCTGTGTTTTTGCCAGAGGAGCCTGGGCTGTACAGGGCGGAGATAACATTGGATTATTCGCTATGCAAGGGATTCAAAGATCCACCAGTGGATTGGTTTATGAGAGGTAATAAAAAACACAACGATATCCAAAATAAAAGGTATTGGCACTCTAAAATTATAACCCATGTTCGAATCCTCGCTAGATCTATGATACACTGTTCAAAGTTAGTCTAAATTCGTAAACACTTGTGGGATGGTGGGTGCTTAACATTTGAAAATGAATCTGTAATGAGCAGTGTCACTAACAAGTCATCCTCTCGCTAATATAATTTGATGCTCAAGGTAGATCCCCTGTCAAAAATATGTTTCCATTGAATTAATTCAGGGATTATGGTGGACTCCGTGATCCAAAGTTGATTGTTCCCGAAACTGAGTTTTACAAAAAATTAATAATGCACAATCTGACAAACCCAATTCCAAACCTCAGTGTATGTCTCTCTCCCCAGGCTGTCGACACGGTTCATTCCAGCCACATGGGAGCCTGGGTAACAGAACGCATGATTTCTTGCAGGGGCGACTAGGAGGCGAACAAATTACTTTCAGTGTTCCCTCATCTTCAACGATCATAGCCAAGGGTGAGATAACGTATTGATTGTGTAGCCATGAGGATGATTTAAAAGGGATTGCAAAAAGATATTCGAATTTTTGTTTGATACTTTGGTTCAGGATATGGCAGCATGATCTACAATAAATATATAGCGTAAGGGGTACCCTTAGAGCAACCTCTTCTCGTCAAGACGCCTCGTTATTTCTGGGGCAAAATACGAATTTTGATAAAAAAAAATTTTCTACAGATGTTTTGGTAACGCAAATGCAAACATAGACAAAATTGTGTTTCTTCAGGCTAAAAGTTTTAATTCATTGGGGTATCTTTCTTTTCAGGAACAGGATAGGCTTGCAAAACAATTATCTGCGGGTACATAATGTTTGCCCGATGAAAAACGCAGTTTGTGTCAGTATCTCCCGTTCACATTCTGTGTTAGAGTCAAAAATCAAAGAGTGAACATTTCTGTGAGATAGAACACCTCATACACAAATCGTCTCGCTACTTTTTTTTGTCAGAGATCAATGCATTTAAAAAAGTAAGCCAAACAGCCTGCAAAGAGAAATGTAATCTTTTAGTTGACGGATATGGGTCATGGATCGGTGAACAGTGGAGGCCATATCAAACAGGCAGGTGTTCTGACGATTCTTTTGTTAACAGTTTTAGCATCATACAAACTCTTTTCCTAGGTCTTCCATCCTCTGATAATGGGTGAAAACGGGAAAAAATGTAGACCCTGTAAACGAGAAAAAGTAAGAAAAGATTGGATCAATATCAGTATCTGGGCACTGCCCACCTACCCCTCTCCTAACCCAACAACACTCTATGGATAACAAGTTAAGGTTAATGTTGGGTTAGGGGAGGGGTAGGTGGGTAGTTGCCCAGATACTGATATTAATCCAAAAGGTTATAACATTCAAGATGTTATTCGAGAAAAGCGTTCCAATATGAAAAAGACGTTGGAAGAAAAACACATCAGGGAGTTGCGTTGTACAACGTTTCCTTTTTCAGTAAGACCACGTTTAAGTACTTCATATCAATACATTCAGATGCATATACTTGCTTTTTTGTTTTTTGCAAAACACCGTGGTAACGTAGGTAATTCGGGCAGCTCTCCGTTACGGAAATTTCCCTCCACTACTTTGGCGTCTGTTTTGGAGAAGTTCGACTGTGCAGTAAAATAAGTCGCCATCTTTAAGCCCAACAAATTTTGTGATGTTTTAAAAATCGTTATTTTCACGATCACGTCCTCAGGCTTCACTGCAAGCCTCGGGAGATCTGGACACCAACAAGGCCGAGGAATATTGTGGGTCTATGGCGATTCTCTCAATCGCTACTTTTACGAGTCTCTTCTAAAACGACCGCTTTGCTGGCAAGTCTTCCGAGCCTGCTATCATACGATGTTATGGGTGTATGTATTAACACAGAGCGCTAAAGAAGAAATGAACTTGATGTTTGGCAGGAAGCCTATCAACATTCCCAGGATCCTTTACGAGCTACAAAACGTAGTCACGCGCTCTGACATGGACCAAGACAGTGCCCTTATTCTGAATGCGGGTGTGCACCTACTGAAGAGCGCGAGTTTTTACAATTATCAAAAAGTAATTAATGGATTTATTAGCGTGTTAAAACGTTATTACAGAGGAACTGTTATATGGAAGAGCACTACTGCCATTCATGACCAACGAGAGCTGTACAGTGGCTGTTTTCGACGTTTTCACTCCGATCAGGTAGTTTTATTGATAGCGGACACACCCTTTTGCACATAAGCATGTTCCAGGCGTTCAGTTAATAAAACGAAGCGCGATAGTAAACAGCGCTAATGTTGTGGACGAGAGAGGTTTAGGTCGGGTACCAGACGTGACCAAAACTCCGTCGTTTTTTCACTCCTCCGCTGGCATCGCGCCGTTCGCTGTTTCGCTTCGTTTTATCAGCTGAACGCCTAGAACAGGCTAATGCACACATGGCAATAGTGATTAGTTTAAAAGAAAATATTTAAATATTGATAATATCAATTTTAATTGTATTAGTGTTAGTAATAACTATAATTATTTTTTCAAACCATCAAGTCAAAAAAGGCGTAGCCACTAAAATTCTCTTCAAGACTAAATAAATTAGGAGATAAATAAATAAAAAGTCTGGTAAAAGTTACCTCTATTTGAGTTGAGATGATTCTTACACTTTATTTTTATCTTGTTTAGAGAATACAACTATTCAATGCTTACGCGAATTGGGCGATGTGCAAGGCTGGTTTCTTAGTCCTCGATGTTTACCCCGTTTCAAGCTCCTACCCGAAAGGGACTCTGGATGGTGTGCATTTCAATGAACTAGTGTTTTATCCCGCAGCTGAAGCAGTGGAGAGATTTTTCCAGACGTAGCGCTCTGCTACAGTGGAAACGTCACACAATCCAGACACCGTAACATGGCAGGAAATTTAGTCACATAAACAAGGTCCGATTAGTCGACACAAGACACTTCAAAAGGAAAAAGAACAAGAACAAGATGGATTACAAAAAGGGAGAAGCCTACTGTGAATAAAACAAACAAATAAACAGACAAAAAAAACAGAGATGACGATTAAATCTTGACTTTTTACTTAATCCGATTCGAAGGTCAAAGTTAAAGAGTAAAGTGTCAAGCAGTTCCATATGCTGTACATTCATAAAATGTTTTTAGCCCTAAATTTTTCCTAGTGATTAATTTCTAGAAATCATGGTCAGTTTACTCTGTAACATGAATGTTTACGCATGTAAATGAAGAGCAAACTTCTCATTTGAATTATTTTTCTGGAATTTCTCGCACCCTCTACATAATCCAGGGTACTTTCGTCAACCCGAAGTTAAAAGAGAAAGATAGATAGAGCTTTTTTCAACTGTATCGAAAGAAATCCGATAGCTTTTAGTATTGCTCTACATCATAATTTGATTGGTCCATAAAACAGGCACAGAAGTTCTCAATCTATCAAATTTAGAAATAAACCAATTCCGACTCGGTCACTCGAGGGTTTCCTCCATCCCAGCGACTATCCCCTACCCTACCCTCCCCTTTATTATTGAAACCTGACCCTAATAAGTTTACACTTCTAAACCACAATGTAACAAAAATGCTAAATACCGTTGTAATTGACATAATCGTTTGATATGGAACGAGTATGTTAAATGAGGTTTGAAAGTCTATCTAATTGTCTACGAAGCCTATATTATGACTCTTGCGTGACATCTGTCACGTCAGGAAAAATTGAGGTGTGACAGAGGTACCTTAGTTTCTAAATAATCTCGTATCATACCCAGATCCTACCGTGTAACCGTGTGGGTACGAGACTAGATTCCAAATACTATCAAAACAATACTGCAAATAAGAAAGGTGTTGGTTGCCGCTACCAGATATCCGCTGGCTTTTGGTGGTGGATTTCTAACAAGTGTTGTGTGCGCTTGTCCGCTGACCAACTCGTCTGGGTATCGTTGTAACAGGTCTAGAATGACTCCAATGGTCCAACCAAACCCGACTTGAATATCATACTCACCCCCGCCCCCTGGGGCACCTTGAACGCTCACGTTGAATTTCTCAAACATATGACTGGTAGCACGCCACGCCTTGTAGTTGGTAGTGATCCACTTCTGAGCGAAATTCAAGGCTTCCTGTTTCATCCCTTCGCCGTTTGATTCTGCAAGACCTGCAATAAGCATATGTTGCAAGGGTGGCCATGCATTTGGAAAATCCCATTGCTGACCTGATGAGAACAACGAGGTGGGGAGACCCCCAGGGTAATCGAGGACTCTAAGTCTCTTGAGCGTCCTCAGAACTATCATCTCTCTTGAAATGTTGCCCCGAATAACCCCAGCCCAGAGTGGAACCACGCTTGACGCATAAAAATCACCCCTTCTTTTCTTCAATTGCCGATCGTAGTCAAGCCATAGTCCCTTTTCGTCCCATAATACAGCTTCTATAGCAGCTGCACGGGCCTCCGAGAAGCTTTTATACTCATCTGCTTTAGCAGTGTTTCCGGTCATACGAAAGAACTTTTCCAGTAGATTCTCGCAAGCATAGAGAATACTGTTCAAATCTGTGGGTATGATCTGCCTTGTCCGGGTACTACTGAGGGACCCCCTCTTGTAATCAGTATGGTTAAACCATCGGGTCGAGAAATCCCAGCCACTCTCGGCAGCGGATGCTATGTCTTGGAACAGAGTTGATCTGGCGTCTTCAGGTACTTCTTGAGCAGTGTGAATATCTTCATAATAAGACTCCGGTCTTGGGGTGTTCATGTTTGCAGCGTAGATGGACAGCTTATATTTTCCAGAAGACAATTCAACTTCAACAGTGCGATTTTTCCTCCAAAATGTGTATTCTTTCTCCAGGGCATTCAAAATGGACTTCACATAGTCTACATCGCCAGTTTTGTTGAGATAAAGGCCCACAATTGGGATTAGAAATGGAGGCTGGCTTCGATTTGTGTAGTAAATGCGACCCCCATTTGGAACAAACCCGAAGGTGTTAACCAGCTGAATGAAGTTGTCAATCATTCCTTTGACAGTGTCTTTCATGCCGCAAACGAGTAAACCATTTACAACCCAGTACGAGTCCCAGTAATAATATTCTCGAAATCTACCACCAGGAACAACAAATGGATTTGCCACTAAAATCAAAGAAGATCGCGCGGGGTACATTCGCGCTTCGTCAGTTATCTTTCTTCCCAGCTTCTTCCATAACTCATTGAGCTTCGATGCAAAGGTCTTCAAGTTCTTGTCCTTTATGTGATCAATAAAAGCGGGATTTTCTCGCCAGTCGAGTGGAGTCCACTGTTGCAAATCATGTCCTACGTGATGAAAATTTTCATTCACAAACTTGATCACTTGTTCTTTCGATATGTTAGCCGATGGTCCAAGAGCCTTGAATGCCTGCAAAACGTCCGCTTCGTCACTCTGGAGTCTCATATCAACAAACGTCTTGGAGTCGTTAAAAATACGAGCCATTTGAACGGTGTGAAGAAGATCGCCGCGGCAGAATATCTCGCTGTTGCAAGCAGGTTTCTCGGCATTAATTCCCTTCATACTAAGGGCTAGAAAAGAGAGCTGAAGAATAAAGCCCCACGCCTCCATCATGACAGCTGTGGTTGCTGTTATATTTCTGAGAAATACAACAGCAACAGGTTTTGTAATGTAATCTTTCACCTTTTTGGTTTCCTTGCGTGACTCTACATAATACCTATGATCACGCGATCAGTTGTGCAACCTGTTCGCTCTTGTAACGGTCTTTGACCATGAGTTGTACCGCATCAGTCATTTCCTTTACTCAAAAAATTGTGATAAGGTATTATTTTATTCCGTAATAAAGAAAGGCCGACATCTGAAAAGCGGAGGTCAAAAGTCGTATGGCACATGAAAAATGCTTTGATTTTAGCAACCAAACTATTTTGGAATTGATTTAGTTACAATATTCATGAAAACTCATGACATGTAAAGACAGTGTAGACACCGGGTAAATTTTCCCACTTTCCATCCCCTTTCCGTGATTTTACCACTTTTTATATTAACAAGTTGTTTTCGCTTGAGATGTCATTTCAAAGACGCATTTAGCAAAGCCAGTGATTAGCAGAAATGCCTCTCAATCTGACAGGGTAAAGATTTGATTTACCTTTTTTCCTGATAGATTCTGTTAGAAAAGAGGAGCATATTCTCAGAAACATTTAAAACTGTATGAATAGCGGCTTCCACTGCAAAAGAAAAGCAGGCCATCGCCAAAATGAGGAAACTATTACTAACTGTTATCAAAAAGCTGATGTTTTATTCGTTTCCTGTTGCTACTTGACTTCCGGTTTGACAAAAATCCGAGCATGCGTGCTTCCATGTTATTGGTTCGTACTCGTGGCAATATGGCGGAAGGCGAGGGTAATAACGATATTGTGGAAAGTTCTCATGATTTAACCATTACTGACGACCAAAACGCTTCTGGGGAGACCGAAGGAGCTTCAGAAATAGGAGAAAAAGAACTACCGTATAATTATGGATTTTCCTTACCGGAATACTACAAACTTAGCCTACAGTATTATCACAAAGGTATGCCAGTTGCGCAGTTCATCTCTGCATATCTGTAAATTCTTATACATTTTGTATTTGTTTAGGTTGCTCTGATTTTCTTATAACCCATTCTGCTTTTTTTTCGCGATAATTACCTTGATGAAGTAGTTTATTTACACAATTGCTAGTTTTTGTTCCATTAAAGTGCCATTTACCTAAATTCTTTTAAGTTTTCGGAAGCTAGCTTGTACATCTTCTAATTTGAAATTACTTTATTCGTGTCCCTTCACTTACCAGACAAAGGTAATCAACCTTGGAGGGCTGCATAGATTTTTTTTTCATTTAATTCTAAGTTTTTGCTTCTTGTAATTTGAAATCATCTAAATTTGGCGAAATTTTTTCAGGATTTTGTTGTCTCTGAGAGAGCTCTGGGAAAATTCCTTAGAGCCTTTAAGGACTTGGAGTATTGTATTTTGTCACTGTTTTGCATATCAGAGGGAGATCTTTTTGTGATTGTACTCCCCAGCATTCATCACAGCTGGTTTCGTCATTTCCCACAAATAGAACACAAATAGATTCCATGTTGCAGTTCGTCTGTTTAGTAATTGATCACACATGACATCGAAATGTGGTAAGAACAAAAAAGGAGCACATAAGTTACAGTGAATGTGTCACTGATGTTCTTACCAGGTTTTTACATCTTTTGTGATCTATAGTCAGACCTGTATTAAGCAGCACTAAATTAAATGGTCACCCTATTTCAAGCAGTTGGTTTTCAAAGTCCTGAAATTGTTACCCCTTATAACTGTAATTTTCACCTCTACATAACAGTGTCAGTTACTCTTTAATGAGTCCCAAAGGCCTGTTTGTATTGTCCTCCACCTGCATTGAAGGATCACTTCAAGCCAAACCATTCTAATTAAACTGAGAATTATCTTTCAAGTTAAGTTAAATGTATTTTTATCTTCCAAAATCAATCTTAGTGGTATTTTTAAAGGAACTTTTGTACATGTAATGGTCAATTATGGCGTTATGCAATGTTTTTTATTTTCTTTCATAATTTACCCCTATTCTGTGGAACCTGCATAAGCTGTTAACCTGTATTAAGGGATCACCCTGCCATTCTCCATGGGTGACCGCTCAATACAAGTTCAACTGTATTACTGTACAGACTCATGGCAACATAGAATTAATTTGATATATATGATAAAAAGAAAAATGTTGTTAATCCTTTAAACCCTGAGAGTGACCAGTATCTAATTTCTCCTTACAGTAATATGGCTAAATCATTCATTAAGATCACAAAAATAAAGGAAATGATTACCACCTAAGGAAGCTTTGATTGTTCCACAAATTCTCCTTGTCAGTGCTAAAGGGAATGTGTAGAGAAGAGTAGGGAGAATGTGGATACTGATGTTAGGGTGTAAAGGGTTAATGGCAACAGCATTTATTCGTCTGTCCTCCAACAGATCATGAGTTAGAGCCAATCAAATTGTTTGTATGACTGTGTCACTGTGAATCCAAGACTAAATTGAGTGTTCAAGATTAGTTTAGTGCAACTTGTACATGCATTTCCATTGGTGCATTTGATTTATTTCTCACTCTGCAGAAAAGCAAATAATAAAGCTTACTTATGATGACAAAGTTCAGCTGACTGCATATTGGAAACAAGTTTCAAGTGGAGCTTTTGACCCTGAAAAGTACCCAGATGTAGGATATTTTGATGTTATTGGCAATGACAGGAGGTAAAGATGTTAATTGAATAACCAAATAAATAACTGAATGAATGAATAGATAAAGAATAAACAAAGAAATAAAATTTGGCTATTACAGTGAAGCATTGAAGTTTACATCAGTCTCTTATTTCCATATACCTTTTAACCCTTTAACTCCCAGAAGTGATCAACATGAAACTTCTCCCTGTAATATCCTTACATTATCCAGCAAACAGCTAATGAGAATATTCAAACTTATCAGGTAGAAGCTGTTGTCTTCATCTAACACCAAGTTCTCATAACCAATTTACAAGGATGTGTGTAGCAGCTGGGGGGGAGAATTACCAATTAGATCTTAAGAATTAAAGGGTTAAGCCACCATTTGTTCTTGAATCAATAATATACCCTCTTCAGCGGCAGATTCAAGAATTTAAGATATGGAATGTCTAAGCTTTGATTCGGTAGACAATTTGTTTTTTGGCACTAGCACCTCTCCCTGGGTTGATAACTACTGAAGCCAATAAGTTTGTTTATTCTCATCACATTCCCGTAGAATGACACATATGAGGATATTTCAGTTGTGGAAATTGAGGTGTTAATGGAATTTACTGTCTTTCTTCTATGCCTTCTGTTTATGGCTTCAATTTCAACCCTTGTCACTGGTTTTGATGCTAAATTAGCACAACTAATTTTTCTTACGTTTATTGTTTTCTCTTTAACAGGAGAGCATGGGAGAGCCTCGGTAACATGGAGCCTAGGGAAGCCATGAAGAAGTTCTGTACATTACTAGGGACATGTTCACCTGAGTTAGCTCCTTGGATGGAAGCACAACAAAAAGAAAAAGAAGAAAAGGAAAGAATGAGAAAGGAAGAAGAGGAAAGACTGCGAAGGGAAGCAGAGGAAGCTGCAGAGAGAGAGAGGCAGAGACTATTGGAAGAGGAAATGAGGAGAAAAGCTGAAGAAGAAGAGGAGGAAAGGTAAACAGGGGTTAATGTTTCTACTAAATTTTGGTGTGTGAATTTTACATACCTCTTGTTTACTGAGTGCAAGGTCCACTCAGAATGTGTAGGTAAAAAATCTCCGCTGAAAAAAGGTGGTTCTGTAACTTACAATACTAACTGAGAGAAGTACATGTAGGTTAGTAAGATATTTATCATATCTCTGGGTTCAAATAGAGGGGAAAGATTTCAGTTTAAACAACATTTTTAATGTAGCAGGCGGTACAGTGAAATATGGCCTGCTAAATTAACCAATCATAGAACACTTACTAGCTGAGAGTTATAATACATGTAAATTTCATTAGTTTAATCGCTGTGGTGATTTTTGGAAGATGGGCATGCTCTTATTGGTTGAGGATTACATCATATCTTGCTATAATCACCTTGCATGAGGTGATTATAGCAAGTTGCTATCATGGCCAACTGTGTTTGAAAATGAGATGATTATTTGCTTGAAATGTTGTTACCCTTTCTAATTTGAACTACATGTAGGCCAGCTGCCAGTTTTTTTGAGCTTGGTTGGTAGAGCTTTCTAGTGTGAAATTGGAACTGGCTTAGGTTTGAATCATTTTTAGAGGATTATTTGGACTTTGTTCCACACTTGTGGTGGTGTTGTTCTCTCTTCTCTTGATAAGAGTGCTCTTTATTGGAAAATCTGACCAACAAAACTTATCCCAAGGCAAAACTTTACATCCAGTATAGTTGATACTAGCATTATAATGCAGTGAAGTAGTTGCGTTAGTATGGAGTACATGAATTGTGTCAGTATGGGTGCATTTCAAGTTGATTTGCAAGAAGTATCTTGTATGTGTCCAATATACAGAAATACCTACTGGGTAAAAGTTAATTTACTTCCATCACATTCAGGAGAAAACAAGAAATTATTCTGAGGCAGCAGCAAGAGGAACAACTCTTACAACAACAGCAACAACAAATGTTGAATAAGCAGCAGCAATATCAACAACAACAGACACCAGATCAACAGGTAGATCAGCTGAGTTGCAGTTTTAACCTTTAACACCCAAACATCAGTATGCAAATTTTCCGTACTGAAAATTGCAATGGACTTACAACTCAGAGAGGGAGAGTAGATGTACTCCAATTCACATCATGCTCAACAAATCGGGATGGGATTTTGCCAGTTCTTTTTTGTGCTCTGATGACAACACTGGTAACTTGACTGTCCCATTGCATCTGAAGAGTAAACTAGACAGAAAGATACAGGTCAAAATGTTATTAGTCCAATTATTGATAAACATTTTTATTTTAATGCGAATCATGATATATGCTCTTTGTCATCAAGCCCAAGACAATGGCAGTGAATGGCACCCCAAGGATAGCACCCCCTTCATTATGGACGCGTCCAAAAGTCCAAGAGTTTATTCAACATCTCAAGTCTGATCCTACTTCTGTGTTAGTTGTTGGACGTGGGGAGACGATGACAGTTCGTGTACCTACACATGAAGGGGGTAAGTGCAGGACAACTGTCCTACATCAGCCTAATTTCAATGTGTTGAAATTGAGTATCAAACAAGAGACGTCAAAATGAGGCTATAAGGAATGAGCCACACAAACTCTTACTTTTTTACACAAACTCTATGGTTCTTTCCCCAGAGCCTTGACCTGACCTCTGTTGTTTAAAGTTGAATTTTAAGATACAAAATTTGGCTATTTACTAGTATTGGCAAGTTACAACGAGTTTAAGTGAAACTCGATCGACTCATGTCAAAAATTTTGATCTGGGTTCAAAGATAGTCTGTCAGCTGAGCTAAGTACTTCAGTACTTTGAAGTACAAAGTACGAGGAGATAAATAAGTGGCCCTGCATCTTGCAGTTTTATCCAGTTTACTACGTCGAGAACTCCACTATTTTAACACTTATCGGCTCAAAAATACTGTTTGTTACCCTTCATTCTTAGGAACATGTGTATTTTGGGAATTTGCCACTGAATTCTACGATTTAGGCTTTGGAGTCAGCTTTGAATGGTCGCAACCGCAAACCAAGAACATCACCGTCGCGGTGAACGAATCTGACGACGAGGAATTCGGAGAAGAGGATAAATCGGCTGAAAACGAGTCCAGTCCCCCCAAACCAAGAGTAGACGAAGTACTGCCTGTCGTACGGAGGCCTTGTAACGAGGAAGTGATTATTGGAAGTCACTTATATCCAGGCCGCGGCGTGTATCTTCTCAAGTTTGATAATTCATATTCACTGTTCAGGTCAAAGACTTTGTATTACCGAGTTTACTACACTCGGTAATGCAGGGATGGAGACAGACACTTTCGCGAGAGACGCTGAACGGAGCTCACAACGGTAACTAATTTCACAAAGCGAGAACATTTTGAAGAGTGTCTCAAATTATAACCTTTATAATATATCACGTTTTTTGTGATGAGTGTCGATCGATGTGTGTTATGAAACAGAAAATTGTATAGTTATTTATACAGTGTTTCATGTTTTGGGAATGAAGTCCATTAGGAATAGCAGGCAAAGGAGACGACAAACTCTCGTAGAGCTTTTGCAAGTTTTTGATGAAACAATAGGGGTCGAAAATTCTTCTGTTTTTTTTTTTCAATTATTTTGAAATCATTGTCTTGTTTCCCTACTAAAAACCTACAACAAGGAGAGAACGTTTTGATTTTAAAAATCTGGTTAGCACATGAGGTGATTATTTTGGATTAAAAGTATAGAAATATGTAACCTGGTATCAGGGCGAAAGAAGAAACATGAACCTATGATTAAGGTTAAAACAGCGCCATTTTTTGTTTGCTTGTTTGTCTGTTTTTGTGTTTTTTTTTTTTTTAAACAACTCGTAATCCTTTAAAATAACAGATTAAGAGAAGAGCTTTCTCGAAAAGAAGAGAAAATCTCGGTTTTTGATTCTTAGAATATAAGGTGGGCCACTCTCTCATGACGAGGCTTCGCATTGAAGGAGTCGCAATATTCACGACGCACCAATGATGATGTGGCTTCTCTGCAGGTTGCTTGATAAAATAATCTTATTGAAAGGAAAAAAGGATTGGAAAATATAAGTTAAATAAAAAAGGAGGAAAGAGAGGGAGAGAGATATACGAAGGTAACTTCAGTCAGGTTTCGTGTCGTTAGGGGTCTGGTACAGAAATTGCCTCAACTTTCTCGCAATTGATATTAGGTTTGGTGCGATATCTTGTTTATTGATGACTGTTCAACTGAATCCTTAATCATAAATAAAAAGAAGCTTCAGATTTAATAAATGATGAAATATTTCTCACAATGTGGACTTCTGTCTCATAACTTATAAGACAAAGTAGCTTTTCATCCCAAAACTTTCCTTGTCCGTTTTATACCCACTCGCCCCTGCCCTCCCCCCCCCATTCCTTTCCCCTCCCTACTCTATATTCCCTTTCCTTCCCTGTGCTCTGCTGGCAACAAAGAGGACGACTTCTGATCGACCCACTTTTCTGGGCTCGCGCAACATCCATTCCTTTTCTAGTCCTCTTTCAGTCACTTGGTTTCAACTCAAGATGAAAACGAGCGGCTCTGGGGACGAGAATGCGTAACACACTGTAGATAGCATACGTAAACGACACCGCGCGCGGGTGAAACACGCGAGAATGTGACACAATTTTGCCTCTGTTTGCTGTGATGAATCATCTTTGATTCAAATCAGTTTACCACAGATACCGGACTGACTTGATTATTTGACTTGGAGCGTCCCAGAGCTAAAATCGCCCTCTTCATATCTCTCTTGAGTAAAGCGTAAGCAACAGGGTTTAGGGCAGAATTTGCGACCAACAACAAATGTCGAATATACCATAACTCTTGAGATATCGAGCACAAATTAAAAACGGAACAAACAGAGGTGTAAAGATTTACAGAGTAACAGATAATGAAAAGAATGACAACGCAAACCACAACGTTGATGTTGTAATTTCTGCGTCTTTCTTCGCTAACGTGAATTCGAATCGTAGAAGATCTCAATTCCATAATGGATGAATGTTCAAGGTTTTCTGAGTTTCCTCTGCTCTTTCGCAAATTCCTCACAATGTGAACCATGCGAAACGTAAAGAAGGGAAGAGCGATGCATAAAACAAACTCAAACATCACCATAAACAGAGGAACAAGATATTTCGAGGCAATCTCCTTGTTTTTGAGATAAATTGGGGTGTAGATACATACTCGGAATATTACCGGTATAAACCAGGCGGTCAATGCCAATATGGCGATTCGACCTAGTGTCAAGCATCTCTTATGTTTTAGTGGTGATGTAACAGCAATGTAACGATCTAAAGTTAATATGAAAAGGTTGCATACAGACGCGTAAAGAAATAACCATTGAATCGTTTTCCTCACAAACCAAACGTGTTCACTGCAAGAAAACCATTCTCTACACGCGTAAAACGGAGGAATGTACGTAAACCCTACAAATAAATCGGCGGTTGCTAGCGACAAAATAAACCAGTTCGGTTTCTTGCGAAGATGTCGTTTCGCTAAAATCAGATAGATGACGAGTGTATTTCCAGAAATCGCCACGGCAGTGAATAACCAGCCAAAAATCCAGTATAAATCTTCTGCCTCCATGCTCAAGAAACTCAAAAGACCGCGCGACTTAAATTCTGACCAGCCACAAAAAAACCTCGACGTGAGATCTTCGATAAGTATGAGAACGTGACAAAAAAAGGAACTCAATAAATGCTAGATATGGATTGTTTGGCGTTCAACTTTCAGCATTGTTTGAAGTAACTTGTTTAAGTTCTCCAATTTCCATTTCATTATGGTATTGTTATTCCAGTTCTTATTGCCTTTGACAGCTTTAAGGGATGTCCGGTATTGCTAATAATTCAAAGAAATCCGCTCTTTATTAAATTTCATATTGAATTGACTTTCTGATATGATTGCATGCAAAGTAAGTGGCACACAAAGTGATACAATTTATTGTGAAAAGTTTCGCTTTATTTGGACTAAACACCATTGAAATAGATGAAAATCAATCGCGATTTCACGTTTAACCTCGTTCCTAATGGAGTTTCTTGGTAGAAACAAAGCCTGTTTACACAACGATTTGTATTTGAACAAAAACTGATACATTCGATTTCGTTTGAAAATAATTCTTCATCTATTTCAACCGCACACCCCGTTTCATTATATTCTAGTTTGAGAAACAATCCTGGCGGCGTATAAACATCTTAAGACTATAGATTTATATTTTTTTGTCAACTTTGCAAAATCTAGGAAAGGTTTCCTTTTAAGTTTTGTAGCAATAAACCCAAAAAACAGAATTACGCTGATGGTGTCAAAAATTTGTTAAATTAATTCACTTCAATTTGTTTAAGCCTTAATTTAAACGACAATACTACTATCATACCATGTATAAAGAGATAGATTAGTAATTGAAAAGATAAAAAAAGATAACAATTAAATCTTTTCAACTAAAAAAAAGTAGCTCAGAGTATATTACTCCCGATGAAAGTTACAAAAATAGTACAATAATGTTTAAATATGAAAGTTTTTGTTTGAATTCAATTATAATCATAAACATTTTAATTAAAAACTTAATCATAACATAACTGTGTCAGTTTTGACTATATTTTTCATTCAACAGAACAAAGGTCTTCACACCTCTCCTCTATTACTTTGCTACTTTTGTCATACGTCAAATAAGCGCTTTTTAAGTTTCTACTACTTCAGTGCTGGTCAAGGGCTTAGTTTTCCTTACATGAAATAATTAACTGTACTGAAATTAATCAAACACGATTGGTACATTTTGGTCTTCTCGTTCTTAAGTGATCGAATTACTCTTCAGTTTCTGCTGTTTCACCGCTGGTCGAGGGCTTTGGTTCATCCTCTGGTTCATCTGTCTCCATGGTAATGTCTACGGCTCTCTCGCTTGGCAACAAAGCAGGGTCACGTGATGCTTCAATCGTCAGCAGGCTTTCCTTTGACAATCGTGACGACACCGAACCAAGAACTACGTCATTGGGCAGCACAATGCGGCGGCTATAATCACGTGACCGGTAAACCTCGCCATCTTCCGATTTGTGTTTCCCACTGACACTTAACTCATTTCCGCGGATCTGTACCTTGATCTCCTCTGGCTTAAAGCCACTGACATCCAACTTAATTTCAAATTTCCCGTCATCCTCCTTCTCTTCCACCCGTTTTGAGCCCTCAACGACGAGGACACCGCCATCTTGGGTAGTGCGTGACGTCACGGTAGTTGGATCGATATCTTGTGGTAGTTTAAAGACTCTCTTGAACTCGCTTGTGTCAAATCCATCTTCTCTCTCTGAGCGATGCTGCCCATGTAAGGTCACCTTGTCGCTATCAACTTCGAGTGTGATGTCTTCCGGTTTGTACTGGTTTAGTGGGACAGAAGCAATCTTCACTGCTCCCTTGTGGGACTGTTGCTGTCTTTTACGGCAGTAAGGGTTGCCGACTTCTTGTTCATATGCCAATGCGATCTCTCTCCACAGATTGTGGAAAAAGTCGAAACCTCCAGGCACTCCTTTGTAGTAACTGCAAAAAAGAAGAAAAGCAAAATTTTTAAAATGACATACGCAGAAAAAAAAAAGGAGCATCTTTTAAGTGTATAAACAGGAAGAAATATTTTATTCTTATCTATTCGTAGTCGTGACTTCTCCAACGAAACTTCAGGAATACTCTCACAGACAATAATAATTAAGGATATTGGCACTTCCCTCGATATTGAATGATTCATTAGTGTTAGGAGATAGGTACATTACTCAAGCATAGATAAATAGATTTACCAAGGATCTACACTGAGATTTGTATTGAAATAGTTAGGAACTCACTTGCACGGATGATAAACTGGAAATCTGAAAACGAGAGCCATATTTTTCCTCTGTTGAAATTTTTCTTTTGCTTCCTGTAGCTTGTAGTTACTTCTTTCTTCTTGGATCTCCGAAGTCTTCTTAAGAACTGTTGATCACTCGGCGAAAAGCGTCCATATATACTCGTGGCTTTTATTCTAGAACGATCCATCGTTGCTAAAATTAGGGGACTTGTCAGTGCCTCGTAAGAGTGACTGGTTGCCTTTTTATCCTGACTCAGCAGCTCAAGCGCAAGGTAGAAATTTCCCGAAAATTCTAGAAAGTTTTTTAGCAGGAGCGAAATGGACACTGGGAGACATATGACGTCATTTTGCAATATGGCGGACAAGTAACAAGAATATTTCGTGGATCATGCTACGATTACAAAAGAATTTCTCTGCGAAAAAGTGCATAAAATTTTCTTTTGAGAAACTTTGGCTCGAGAAACATAAGTAAGTTTTGTACGGCGTCTCCTAAACAACGAATAAGTTATGAAGGTCAGTGGCTTCACTGTCTTGGAGTCTGTTTAGCTCCACGTACTTTATTTCAGGTTACCGGCGACGTAGAAGGATTCATTGAGATGAAGGCTTTTGGTTTTGGGGCATTGTGGTGTGCCTGATAGTATTATTTTCCTGTTGAGGACACTCTTATGCCTGTGGGTCAAGTGGTGGCTGACATTTCACCTGCGCCTTATGGAATCTTTTGCCAATAATTTTGCCATTTTGCAAGGTCATCATGAACAGACAACGTTCTCAGGCTGCTTGGGTTACACATTAGGCGGTGAGATAATTAAAAAGGTTAAGTTATTAATGATGCTGTGGTATTTCATTATTAAGAAAGCACGGCAGCAAGGACAGTCGTCAGTTCGATTAATTCAATGCACGCTTGTCAAAAATGTTCACAGAATTTAAACTGGAATATTCTTTCTAACATTTTGAGAGTGTCAGGTGCTTTTTGATAAATTTCAAAATTTCATTACATTTGGTTTTTAAGTCAATGAAATATCTGAACCTGTGCACTCAGTAAAATTGCAAATTAAAGGCAGGTAACTCAATATCTGTGGCCATAACATCAATATGCATATTCTCTATACTGTTTTCTGTACAATTCCTGAGGTGCTGGCAAGAGGAATTTGTTTATCAATCAAGAGCTTTAGTTTATGATCATTTCCTTTATTCTTGCTACCTAAATGTGTGATTTGGGGAGTGAGATTTTCGGAGAATTTAGAGGCTAGTCAAAGGGGTCTAAGGGTTAATAACTCAAAAGAGCATGAAAAATAAAAATATAACCAAGTTTGATTTCAATGTGAGTTTTGCTAACTCTGTTTCACACAGGGTATGGTAATCTTTTCTATAATTTAATTTTTTTAGGTATGACAAGATGTTAATTAAGCATTTATAAAATGTTGAATTGGAATGAATTGATTAAATCCTTCTGGGATCATACAGATGCTTTTCTGACAGCTTATCCCCTCAAAAGCTGCCACTTGAGGTCTGTTTAAGACAGTTTCAGAGAGGTTTCAATATTCCAATAAAATTCTGTGGATGCATTCGGATTTTTTTAGTAATTCTGATGATTTAGGGGAGGACTGGAGCTAAATATTTTGTCCAAGGTAATGACTTAATGACTTCCCTCTTCATTCTCTAAGTCTATGGGAGACAAAAATTTGGGGTGGATTTTGACACAAACATAAATTCCCTCTGTCATTTCTTGAACAAATTGTAGTGGGTTACTTGCTGAAATATGAGCAAGTCTTGCTTTCCAGTAGCAAATAAATTTAATGCCCTGTCTCTGTAACAGATTAAGTGGAATGTCACATTTAAGTTCTTTTGCCCTGAGACCCTACACTTTTAGTAGGACTTTCTGGATGAGACCAAGAAAACAATTATAATGTTTTCAAATATTTATTGCATAATTTCCTTCCCTAAAATAACTTTGAAACAGTGAAAAATAAGTTACATTTATGAAAATAAAGTGCACTGTAAAAACTGAGTAAAGGGGTAAGTTTCTAAAGAATCTGTGGTGCCGTGTCAGTGGGAATAATTACAGGGTAATTAGGTATTATTATTAACTGACCCTAACCTGAACCCCATCACTTTGAGGTCACTTTTTTTCCCTTTGAAGTATATAATTCTAACAAAAGTTGTCAAATATGTAAAGTCAAACTAGATATGTTATTTGCATCATTTATAACCTTGATAAAAAACGATTTTCATTTAACTTTTCTTGCCTGAATTAATCAACTGTACCATCATTTATCAATTAGTCATCTCTTTCGTACAAACTCGATCTACTCTAATTTCATTTGGTGTCTGCTGGTTCATCTCTAGTGAAGGGCTTCGGTTCATCCTCTGTTTCATTTGTCTCCAGGAGGACATCAACCGCTCTCTCGCGCGGCAATAAGGCGGGGTCACGTGATGCTTCGACCATCAGCAGGCCATCTTTTGACAAGTGTGATCTTACTGAACTGACGTCGACGTCTTCAGGCAGCAGAACACGGTGACTGAAGCCACGTGACCGATT